CAGGGGGCGGGGCTGACTGGCATGTGGTGCTGGGGGATTGAACCGCAGTCCCTGTGCTTTGCTAAGCTTGTTCTAAGTAGGTGCTTTAGACCACTGAGCTATCTCACCAGCCCTACAAACTCTATTGTGGTTTATTATTTTATCTTTGGATCTTCATGCGGAGCATGACTGTCTCAAATTTATTTAGCTTTTTGAGTTCTGGTTATTTGGTCAACCAACCTAGAAGACAGGAAAGACTTGAAAGTCAGAGGGGATAGAAACAGATGTGACAGAGGGAGGACAACTGCCCTGAGACACTGAAGGCGACAGTGGCACACGTGACCTTGGATAGAGAAAATATTATATCATACTGGGCAGGCAGAGACCCAATGTGTTGCAGAAAGATTTCCACCAATGGTGGCAGAGATACATGAAGATTTCAAAGCTCTGGAGCTCTCGGGGTTGCCTAGTCCAGTTTCACATACTGGCTCTGCCACTTATTCATTGGATGACCTCTCCTCTCTGTGTCCACCTCCTCCCAGAGGCATGGAGTGATGACAGTCCCTGCTGTACTGAGCTGGGTGGACACTGGGTACAGAGCCTGGAATGGAGGAAACGCTTGCTCACTACTGCTGGTGGGAGTGACAGGAGCAGGGGCAGTGACAGGAGCAGCAGTAGTATTTGGAGGACAAGCCCCTGGGGAGGAGGTTGTCACCAAAGCCCTTTGCCAGCTGGGTGGGCCCGGGGGCAGCCGTGGCACAGAGTCCTCCAGTTTCGATGAGGGTCCCATGGGCATGGCAGGTGGTTGATGCCACACACAAGGACACCCTCAATCAGCATTAGCAGTTAGAAATATTCCAAATAAAGAATGCCATGTTCTTAAAACACATTCTGCACTGGGAGCGCGGAGTCAGGCTCCCAATTTCCTCACAGTAAGAAGTCGAGGGAATCGGGGGAACGATTCGATTGCGCTGATGAGCTTTTCTAGGAGCAATCTGTCTGGGTTCAGGAGGACTGCCTGCGACGTTTGCAAATGTGGCTCACAGCTCTGCAGAGGCCCAAGGAGACCCAAAGGTGGCTCTGACTCCTTGAGAAGAGATAGCTGAGCCTTCTCTGCAGTTCTTACTGAGATCACGGAGAAAAGAAGGCCTAGCATCGCGGTGGGCAATGGCACAGCACGCTTGTTATTTGTTTTATTTTTGAAATAAAAGATGCTAATGTATGACTTTTTCCAAACAAAACCCTCAGTGTTCAGGTTTAATTGCAGTGTTGGCACTTTGCGATACATAAGAAGGTTTTGGGGTGCAATCTGGGCACTTGTGTCTAAAAAGTTACACATCACTGGTACAGAAGATAGTCTTAAAAGTGAGCCAATGTTCAAGCCCAATCTGAGCAAAATTTTTAACAATACAGAGTTGGGGATGTAGCCTAGTATAAAAGCCACAGGTTCAATCCCCTGTACTGGAAGAAAGAACAAAGTGTGAAGGGCAATGAATTATGATAAAGAGCTTTCTACTTCCAAAGCACTTTCACACACATAAATGAATTAATCTGGTCCTTGCAGCAAGCCTATGAGAAGCGAAGCATCATCCCCATCTGCTAGAGGAAGGTGGGGAAAGAGAATTCAAGTGATTTGCCAAAGTTACTCCTGAGAGGAGAATCCAGCACATGCCTGTTTCAAGTTCAGGTTTTTTATTACCCATGCATGGTCTGGTGGAATATTCTTTTTTTTTTTTTTTTATTCTTTTAAAGAGAGAAAAAGAGGGTTTTTTTGGTAAAACTGGGGATTGAACTCAGACCCTTGCGCTTGCCAGGGAAGCGCTTATTCTACTGAGCCATCTCCCTGGCCCCGAGAGAGAAAAATTAATCAAAACAATATAAAATTTCAAAACAAGATGATAGGACATTAACCATGGTTATTATGTTGTATATTGTTATCTTCAAAGTTGTTGCTGAGATTGAAGAGATAGGAATGTAAGATTGATCAAACAATATAAAAATTAACAGTTTCTTTCAGTGAACTAATAGAAGTTGGTAATACAATTATCTTAGCTATCTTGTGTGTGTGTGTGTGTGTGTGTGTGTGTGTGTGTATAATTTCCTTTCCTTCTTTTCTCCCCTCCCCCTCCCAATTTTTCTTTCCTTTAGAGCAGTTTCTTTCTCTTCCACAGTATCGATTGTACTTTTTAGGCCTTATTTACTTCTTGAGTTTCTTACACTAGGGAGCCAGTACGTTCACACATGTGAGTCTGGTTTATTTCCCTTACGGCCCGTGGAATATTCTTGCTTGCACACCTTCACCATGTTGTGGGAGCGATTTCATTTTTCCCCCATTGTCTGGTTACTGTGGTTGCTGTGGTCACTTAACTCTGAATTGCATGCCCTCACCTGCCACATCATTCGTGCAGTGTGTATGTGTGTGTGCACACACATGTGCGTACACGTACACATGTGCACAAGTGTAAGCACATGCAGGGGGACAACTTAAGCTTTTCATATCTTATTTCCTTTTTTGATTGAGGGTGATGTCATTCAGTCAAGTTCTGAGAACACTCGATTACGTGTTTGAACTTAAGACTGCAATAGTCCAAACAGAAGAAAAAAGAGGCTTTTTACTTTAACCATGGCTTGTTCTGAAAACATGGTCTAATTTCTCTTATAAAGGAAGCGCAGAACTTTGGTTGCCATGTCTAGCTGTCAAGCAGCCTCCCATACTTTTGCCCTGCAGCCAAAGAAAGGGACATCAGGTGACAGACCCCAAATTTCAACTAGTCACACAAATTACAGACCTTCCCATCATATTGTCCTCTTGTCCTTCTGCCTCTGCCCTGTAATGAAGAAAGTGACATAGTTTAAATCACAATGACTCTCTTGGGCAATTTTACAAAACAAATAGAAGGCCCAGCTCCCTGTGCCCCGCGCCCTGCTCCCCCGCTTGACCAGCTTGTCCCCTCTTCCAGGGAGGCTGACAGCTAATAATTAGACCTCTCCCACCCCCGATGGAGGAAATGCTCTGCCTTCCAGGCCCTGTTTGCATCGAAGAAAGAGTTTGACAAAGTAAATGTGTACAAGCAACTCTAATCAGATGTCAGGTTGGCCTCTAGGGAGCCCAGGGAGAAGTGTCTACAGGACGGCGGGGTTTGCGTGGGGGCATCGCAGTGCCTGGCACTGGAGCCTGCTCAGAAGTCTGCTACCCGCACCCTCGGCCTGGGCTCCGCGCACTGAGCTCGTGGCCTTTTCATTCCATGCCTAGTGCCCTTCCCACAAGGTATAAGAATAATTACATTTATCTCTGAAGAGACAATTTAGAAATGTTGTACCAATGGGGTCCCCCCCCCAAAAAAAAGTCTTTAACTATTTCTGCTTCCGATAGTAGAGGAAAGCTTTGGGAGGTCAGCAGAGGAAATTAAAGTGGGGCTCGTTAGCGTTCCGGAAGTACGTCATTGTCTAAAAAGTTGCTTTGTCTGTTTACGTTTAGTATGATGCTTCCTGGCTAAAACTCGGTCAACTGCTTTGGTTACCTGTAGGTTCTTCTGTGTAAAACTGCGGGATGCGAGCGCTGGAACAGGGCGAGAACCCAGCCAGGAGCCTCGGCCTGCTCCCCTTATGCACATTAGCCCGTGGCCTCGCACAGCCTGCTAAACAGCTGAATCCGGAGCGGTAATGGTGCCCGCCAAGCACTCGCCCGCAGGCCTGGCTCTCTTGGGATTTGGCCATTTGCATTGATTTTTTTTTTTTTTTTTTTTTTTTTACCCACAGTTTTCATGAAGCACAAATATTTGCCATGGCAACCGTAGTGTCACGTGACATGCGGCTACATAAGCAGTCTGGAAAGCTTTCAAGGGGGCACAGACCACCAATGGGGAAAACAGGGAGGAGCACTTAGGAAGGGCTGGGCGCAGGAACACGGAGGCCGCGAGCAGGGCCCGCCGCGGTGTCCTCGGGACGCTCCGGAGCGACAGTGCACGGGCTGCTCGCTCGCTCGCTCGCTCGCTCGCTCGCTCGGCTTTGCTCTGCTTTTGATCTTGACAGCAGCTGAAAACACCGCCACGTGGGTAAGCCAGCAGCAGCGCTGCCAGCTGTCCCCTTTCTAGTGAAAAGTTTCGATTATTGCAAGTCTGCGACTCATAAGCGTAAAGAAGCAAGCTACCAAAGTCCAGCGCCTTTCAACTGGAGACGTCTTCCGCAGGACGAGCTACACGGTACTGCGCTCTGCTAATATAAAGGAACGCAGAACTACTTCCACTTCCTCTTTAAGGTTTTCTGTGCACCCCACAGGCCTTGCCAGGCCTGAACCCCAAGGAGACAGCGAACAGTGAAACCTCACATAGCAGGAGCGAGGGCATCCCAGACCCCGAGCGGCTAGCGATGTGCGCCCACTCGGTCACCTTCTCCTCAGTCTCACAGTCATGCAACATGCCTGAATGTTTTCGACTCCACCGAGAGTGTCATGGTCGCCTTAACTTGCTCATTAACTCCCCCTTTTAAGGTCAGGGATTGGGGATGTAGCTCAGGGGTAGAGCACGTACCCAACACGCACGAGGCCCTGGGTGAGACCCCTAGCACTACAAGACAAAACAAAATGCTGAATTAGCATTTACATCTGTGTCGCAGGCACACAGGTGGGTTTTCTCAAAAATTAGACAGACGCTATTGTAAGCACGAGCAATTTTCTCTCTGTAGTTGGAAATATGCATACCTTTGATTTTTGCTTCTGAGGCCTCTGTTCTTCAGCTGGAACCAGCAGTGGTTTCTGAGGTATGGTGATGGGCACTGTGGAGAGAGGAAGAGCGCCGTTACCTCTCCCAGAAAGAGAGGCTGAGGCGTGCATGGGGCGGATGCTACGGGCTTTGCACGAGGGAAGTCACACGGCCCTGCGCCTGCCGTCAGTCTTTCCTGAATCCATCCATGAGAAAAAGACCTGTGAACACCGACTGCCAGAGGAAAGCCGGCAGCATGGGGGCCAGAGCCGAGGAGCACAGCGTCCGCCCACCCCATGTAAACAGGATGAAAAGCGGCTGTTAAAAGTGGGCAAATGAAAGAGGAACCTTTGTCTTCCATAATATTTTGCTATAAGATTTCTTTCATTCTTTTTTTTTTTTTTTTAAGATTTCTTTCGGGCTGGTGAGATGGCTCAGTGGTCTAAAGCACCTACTTAGAACAA